AGATATATTATAATTCAAAGTGTTTCTATTAAAAAAAAACCTAAATAGTAATTTACGGAAAATGAATATTGAAGCTGAATGATGTAACCAAAATATCTCAAAGGATTATAAACTTTCGTAAATTTGAATGCTTTTGTGATAATAAGATTATTAAATTATAGATGGAAATGAAAGTTGGGTAAATTCATATAGAAACTAAACTAAATCCTCTAATTGGATGCATATTGGATTGAAAAGGATGATGAAAATCAAAGTTATATATTATTATGTTAAGACTTTTAATGCATAAATGTCATAATACGGCATTCATAGAACATACTATTTGTAGAATTGATGGAAATATGATATATTACAAAATAAAAGTGAAAAACTTTGATTTTTCTCGGAAGTTAAAATTTAGACAAAATTACATAAATGATCTCTGTAATTTATTATAGGTTACAAACTCAGTTGTTATTTTTTTAACAAACATGGTTCCTATAGTTCTCAAAACTTGTATGAATTATACTTATTGCTAACAACGCTTAGTTTTAATTCGTTAGTATGAGGGTAATTTGGTCTTTTTAGATACCAATGACTGAGTTTGTGACAATGGTAAACCATATGGACCGTTTATGTAATTTTATCTATATTTTAAGTTTAAGAGTATGTAGCTTTTCCACCCCTATACTTTTTACATTTTCAATTTCAACTTTCACTTTGAACTTTATAAAATGTTATTTTCATCTTTCAATTTTTTAAACTTTCATGTTTATCCCTCATATTATCTATAATTTGATTTTCCAAAATAACTTCGTTTGTTAACCTAATTTTTTTTACGTTCTTCTTTTTATATATGTATATGTCGTTATAAATTCAATGTAATCAATGTTTCGACGTAGATTTAAAACTTCCGTTCGTTAATTCTTTTTTAAAAAAACTTAGTTCTTTTTTTATACAAGTGTCTGTATAAATTCAAGTTTGTCTACGTTTCAACATATTTTTTTTTACGTTTTCATGTTTAATTTTATTTACGTTTCCTACGTATGAGTCATATCACATATAATATTTTTCATTCATTAACTTAAAAAAACGTATTATATACGAGTTTATCTATGTTTCGACGTAATTCTTTTTACGTTTTTGTGTTTAATTTTATATACGTTTTCTACGTATTTGTCGTGTCATATATAATAAATTTCGTTCGTTAACTTAAAGAAAACCAATTTTTTATGTATTTATTTTTATATATGTGTCGTTATAAATTCAATGTGGTAAACGTTAAGATGTAAATTAAGAACTTTCGTTCGTTACATATAAAAAAAAAAAAAACTTACGTGTTTTTTTATGCAAGTGTCGGTTTAAATTCGAGTTTGTCTACGTTTCGACGTATATATATATATATATATATATATATATATATATATATATATATATATATATATATATATATATATATATATATTACATTTTTGTGCTTAATTGTATGTACGTTTCTTACATGCGATTCATGTCACATATAATAAATTTTGTTCGTTAACGTAAAAAAACGGAGTTTATCCATGTTTCGACGTAATTTTTTTACGTTTTTGTTCTTCATTCTATATATATCTTATATGTATGAGTCGTGTCACATATAAAAACTTTCGTTCGTGAACTTAAATATAAACTAAATTTTTATGTGCTTATTTTTGTGTACGTGTCGTTATAACGAAAGGTGATAACGTTTCGATGTAAATTTAAAACTTTCGTTCATTATTGAAAAGAAAAAAATTGGTTGCTTTTTACATGTATGTGTCAATATAAATTCGAGTTCGTCTATGGTTCGACGTCGAAAACATTAAAAATAAATAAATAAATAAACGTCAAAAACATAAAAAAAATTGCGTCGAAATGTAGACTAAAACATTACCCCGAAACGTTGACAAACTCTAATTTAAATCGACGTGTGCATAAAAAACATGTAAGTTTAAAAAAAAAAATTAACGAACGAAAGTTCTAAATTACATCGAATACATCGAAACGATTACTAACTTGAATTTATACCAACACATACATAAAAATAAATACGAATAAAAGTTAGTTTTTCTTTAAGATAACGAACAAGGTTGTTATATGTAACACAACTCATAAATAGAAAACGTATATAAAATTAAGCACAAAACGTAAAAAAAAATACATCGAAACGTAGACAAACTCGAATATAATACATTTTTTTAAAGTTAACAAACGAAAATTGTTATATGTGATCCGACTCATGCGTAGGAAATGTAAATAAAATTAAGACGTAAAAATAAAAAGAAATACGTCGAAACGTAAACAAACTCGAATTTATATTGATACATGCATAAAAAACAAGTTTTTTTTAAAAAAGAGAAAAAAGAAAAGAATTAACGAACGAAAGTTCTAAAATCACGTTGAAACATTGATCACCTTAAATTTATACCGATACATATATAAAACTAAGAACGTAAAAAAATAGTTTTTTAGGTTAACGAACAAAAGTTATTTTGGAAAATCAAAATATATATAATACAGGGGATAAACATGAACGTTTAAAAATGAAATGATGAAAATAACATTTTACAAAGCTAAAAGTGAATGGTGAAAATGAAAATTTAAAAAGTAAAGAGGTGAAAAAACCATATTTTCTTAAACTTAAAATATATAAAAAAAATTACATAAATGATCTTTATGGTTTATCCATTGTTACAAACTCACTCTCTGCTATCTAAAAGACAAAATTATTCTCATACTAACAAACTAAAACTAACGGTGTTAGCAAAAATAATTATTCATGTAAGTTTTAGAAAACAAAGGGATCATGTTCGTAAAAAAAAATTAACGAAGACTGAGATTGTGAGTTTTGACAAACCACATGTACCATTTATATAATTTTGTCTAAAATTTATGTTGGAATTGAGATCTTTTGATAATTATGTAACATAAAACAAACTTTATAAATTTGATTTTTAAAATATATGTTTAATAAATTTTAGTTAATGTGTTTTTAGGTTTTCTTTTAACTTTTTTTAGGTTTTCATATTTTTCGGTGTACTTTTAGTTGCGTAGTTTTTAATCAATGCAATTTTAGGTATATAATTTTACATCATTGTATCTTTTTTATTTATGTACTTGTAATTCTTAATTAGTGTAATATTAACTTTTTTGTAATATCAGTGTTATATAAAATAATTAATAGAACATATATATTTAAAAAAATATGACGTTAAATATGACAGTCCATTTAACTTTTTAAAACTCTATAGACTACAAAATTTAAATTATAAAGTTCTATACAATTGGAAATTCCTGATTTAACAATTCACTTCATCGGAAGTGTAGACGACCTTTATAATTATTTAATATCTAAAGAGTATAAATAAACTATGTTTTTGTTCACATCTTTTTATTCCATCTTAATTTAAAAATAGTTTATATATCCAAGAAAAATGGAGTTTTTGTCCGTAATAAGTTCATTGAAAAAACTATTTACCATTTGTCTTCAAAAATATTTACCATATTAGTATTAAGGAATTGATTTTACTTTGACTTTTGTTTAGTCCACTGAAAATTCATGAGTTGTCAATATTGCCCCTAATTTAAAATTTTAGATATTAAAAAGAAAAGATCTCTAGCTAAAATCTTGTAAATTTCCGTTTTTTCGTCACAAATTAGTTCCCTTTGAAATTATGTACGCAAATTTATTTTTCAATCTTTTTCATTAGTTACACCATTGTTATTTTATGTTTAATTTTTTTATGAACGAAACGATCCATATTTATTTATTACTTAATTTTTTTTTTTTGCTTTTTTTATATTTTCATACCATCAACTCTATATTTTTAAGAGGTGTTAGCAAATAAAACTATTACAAAATTAGTCACTTAGTAAAAGATTACAAATTCAAACTAACATATATGAAATCACAAATATAATATTGACCAACAAAAAATATTTTAAACTAATGCGTATCAAAAAAAATTTCAATCGGGTATCTTCAAGTACTTTCCAACAATAAGATAGTGTTTGTTTTCGATGATGTAAATGTATTTGGTCTTTTTAAATGCCGGTGAAATAAAATATGGTACAAAAGTTTTTTTTTTTTTTCATTTCCTTAGTCTTCATAGACACATGTTTGTTTTTTAAAGTCTTTATAAAAAAAACTCGACGATGTTGGTAGAGGCGGCGGAAATGGTGGTGGATGCGGCACAAGTAGTGGTGGTGGTGGCGGAGGTAGGGGGTAGGGGTGGTGTGGGAGAAGGTGCGGTTGGAGGTTGTGACAAAGGTGGAAGTTGTGACGACAACGACAGTGGTGGTGGTGGTGGCAACCGTGGTGGTGATAGCGGTGATGACGTCATTCGTAGGGGAACAAGCGATATCACAAAGAGTTATAACTTTAAAAAAAATAACTTTAAAAATCAAGAGTATTTTTTGTTTTATTTGAAAAAGATGTCAAAAAACTCTTTTATATCTGATATCTTCTGAAAAATAAATATTTTTTTTCTCAAATGTCTTTCCGCCAGTAGACATAAGAGGTTAAAAAATCTTATAAAAATTTAAACAACACCTAAGTAATCTTTTATATGTCATTATGTTTAATTTATGATGGCTAAAATTTGATGATCAAAGGTTTGTGTAAGAAAAATGGATATTAAAAAAAAACAGAAAAAAAACTGCTATTTTGAAAAAAAAAACAATAATAAAAAAAAACTGAAATAAAAACTATTGTTTAAAAAAAATAAGAAAAAAATACAAGTTGAAATAAAGGGGAAAGGAAGAAATAATCGCATATTTAAACTAAAAAAACAAAAAATTGAAAAGTAAACAAATATGAAAAGAAATACTAACATGGTAAGTAATTTTGAAATTACATTAAAATGGGAAATAGTTTTTTCAATCACGAGAAAAACTCAAGAGAAATGTCGTTTACTTTGAGATGGAGGTATAAATAAAATTTCCATGAGATATTGAGATGACATTGACGTATGGAATAAAACCCAAATGAAAGACAACCATACGCAAACACCATCAAAACCATACACGTGTACGGTAGTGATCCCTCCTTTTGGTCTATAAATAGAACCCCACGATCACACTGGAAGATCATCAAGCTTTCAGTGAATTCAATCAAGAACACAATCTAGTACTCACCGAATCAACCTCAAAACCTTCGAATCATGTCAAGCGGAAAGTGCAGCTGTGGCTCAAACTGCTCATGCGGCAGCGGTTGCAACTGCAACTCGTAATTCTTCTTATTTTTTAATCATTTCATTTATTAAATTTCTCAAAATTGTCGATTTTCTGAGACGTGCTCTTATTTTCCGGCAGATGCGGCGTTGAGACGTCGACCACCGCCACCATCATCGTTTCTGGTGTTGCACCTAAGATGACGTATGTATTTTTTACTGCTTTCGATGCATACAACAATTGTATTAATTACTTTAAATAACTGTAATTATTTAAATTAATTCATAGTTTTAAGTTAACTTTGTAAATATGCAGATTTGCTGAGGGAACTGAGACCAGCTTTGTTGCCGAAAGTGGAAACGGATGCAAGTGTGGATCAAGCTGCAGCTGCGATCCATGCAACTGTTAAGCACAGAATATATCTCGACCCAAATAAGAACTTGTGTTTGAATTGAACTGATTTACTCTTTATGTTGTTTTGTGTTTTCATGTAATAAATAAAAAAAAAACCTATGTGGTATTAAGGTATTTGGATTTGTAATGGATTTCCATCGTTAATATCTATTCGTGTAAAGGCAACGCTTTGAAAAATCACTTGTTTGGGTCTTAATTTATAAAAGCTTGATGTATATTTGTATGAATGAGATTGTATGCTATAAAATTGAAAAGATTGATGTATAATTTAATAAATATTGATATTGTATGTTATAAAAATGATGTTATGGTTGTTGACTTTAAGCTAGAATACCTCAATAATGTGTAAAGTGTGTAAACAATATATAATACAAATTATTAATTTCTCATGACTAGACGTTTATAAGTTTTGTGGATTAATAACTAAGATAAGACTATTTATTTTTTAAAACCCGGACAAAAAATGTATATGCTTTCAGAACTACGATTTTCTTTTCCATTTTTATAAGTAAATGATAAATTTGAAAATCAAAGATGAGAGTAACAAACATGTTTGAGTCTTGTCCAAACTAAAAGCATTTAAACTAGTACGATCATTTTGTTACGTCTATCATCTACCTTGCAAGCTTTCTTGTAATTACAAAGTTTGACTCTTTACTCATATAAATAGTTGGTAGGAATATATGTCAAAAATAATGAAAAATAAGTTATTTTTTTTAACGCTGGAAATTTTTATAAATAATCGATGAAAAAAACCAAGACACTTTCTTGATCAATAAGCTTTTATTGCCGCTAATTTGCATCTTCATATATAATATATCAATTGTTTTATATTACTTATTAAATTAGATGTTCATGTTCAAACTTTGGAAATTTTGAGGAACAAAGAAGATCCTGTGTTACTGTTGGCGGAGATATGTTTATTTTTCTCGGTTTTATCTAAAATTTTCATTCAATAGCCTTGGAGATTTACAAACCGATCAAATACGTACTAACCCAACAAGCTTGCCTTATCGAATTTGCATGATATAGCATATATATTTAACTAATATTTGAGCCAGTTTTTTTTTTTTTTTTTTTTTGGGTGGGTATTAGTTATGAGAATCACAAAATTGCAAAAATGGTTCCTGTGGTGTATGATTTTTTTAGGGTTAGATTTTTTGGGGTTTTAGTCTAACCCTGACTTTTTTGGATTAATGGCCTTTTTGGACTAGTTGTATGTAAAAATGGTCCTGTGAAAATTGAAATGACTAAACTGCCCTTTTGATATATTTTTTTATATTTTTTTCTATTTAATTTAATGTTTTATTAATAATAAAATGGGGCCCACACCCTCTCTCTCTCTCTCTCTCTCTCTCTTTCTCTCTCTCTCTCTCTCTCTCTCTCTCTCTCTCTCTCTCTCTCTCTCCTTGTGAAAGTCAACTTTCCCCATTGAAGTGGTGCAGAAAATCCTTTCCCTCTGAACCGAATTGGTAGTATACTGGAAGAGTGAAAGAGACCGAGATGGTTGTTTGTTCTTGGACTAAGCCCGTTGCTGCCATAAAGCACCGTTCCCTCACCATTGTAGGACAAAAACATCACCACCTCACCTCCTTTTCCCTACCTCTCACTGAATTAATGTCAAGGATCGAAGAGGGAATCAAGAGCAGTCAAGGACTGCCACCCTCGACCACCCACTACCACCGTGAGCGACCATAACTCCACCATCCAATAACCCTTGTTTTGGACAAGAAAACCCACTCAAACACCTCCTCCGACCTGCCTTGCTCGTCTGGTGCTCGTCGGAATAGGAAGGAAAAGAGGTAGAAGAGCAGCCATCGCCACCCATCGTCACCACCTTCACCTAGCTGTCGTCGTTGCTACTGTGTGACGTCCGACCCACCACCACCGATACCCACCTTATACCTCTCTCTCTCTCTCTCTCTTTCTCTCTCTCTCTCTCTATTAAAAATCACCACCGAACATAGCCCTCATTCCTCCCTACCCTCTCTCTCGTCGAGCTCACCGGAAAAGGGAGAAAACGAAGCAGTAGAAGTCGCCGGAGCAGCCCCTTCCACCATCGTCGCCGCTGCTGTGAACCGCCGTCGTCGTCAGCTGCTGCTTCCATCGGTCATCTCCGACCAGCCCCGTCACCACTTTCGATTCCTATAAGTCCGATTCTCCCCCTCATTATTGTCGTTTTCCTTTTCGATCGATAAACAGTCTTCGATGAGGAAGAACCGGTCTCTGATTTCAATTCTACCTCCTCTTCTGTTGGTGTTATTGCTGTTAGGCCACTTTGTGAGGACTCAATTTTGCCTTCGTTATCTATACATAACGAAGTTTTGGGGCTGCAATCATGTTCTTTGGTTGGAGAAGATGAACTGGGAAATGGCTTCGAAGAGAGAGAGAGAGAGAGGTCCTTTATTATTTTTTAATTGTTAAAATAAATAAATAAATATTAAATTTTAAAATAATGAAAGAAAAATGAAAAATAAATACCCAAGGGTATTATAGTCATTTCAATTTTCACAGCGACCATTTTCACATACAAACTAGTCGTTATGAGAATTGATAAAACCATTATAACATATCACAACTTCCAAAAACATTAAAAGTAAAAAAAAAAATGAATGTCAAGTGATTTATCAAAAGTTGAGAAGAGTTTAGAACTATTTTTGTAAGTTAGATGATTTTTGATTAATACATAAGAATATAGAGACCGTTACATAGACCAAATTTTACATAAATGACAATGGTATAAAAGAAAATATTAAAAATGACAACAACCAAAATGCAAGGCTAAAAGTTTGGCAAAAAAAAACCACGTAAACATACACAAAATTTATATGGAAATGTAAATAAACTCGATTTTACACCGACACGTACATTAAAAAGTATGTAAGTAAATTTTTATATTTGGTTAATTAACGAAGGAAAATTTAAATAATAAAAAATGTATTATATATGACCTGAATCATACGTAGGAAGCATACATAAAAACAAGTACCAAAACATTAAAAAAATTAAGTTGAAACGTAAACAAACTCGAATTTAAATATGTTCAAACATTGACCACCTTTAATTTATACCGACACATATATAACAAAAGCAAATAAACTGGTTTTTTTAAGTTAATGAACGAAAGTTATTAATGAAAATCAGATTATATATACTATGGGGGATAAACACGAAAGTTTATAAAATGAAGGTGGTAAAAGTGACATTTTATAAAGTTCAAAGTTGAGGGGTTGAAAGTAGCATTTTAAAAAACAAAGGGGTGGAAAATTCATTTTACAAAGTAGAAAAAGTTGGATTATACAAAGTTGAGGGATTAAACTTGAACTTCAAGCATTAACAAGTTCAAAGTTAAGGGGGGTGAAAGCAATATTTAAAAAAAAATATAGGGATAGAAAATGCATTTTACAAAATAGAGAAAGTTGATGGATGAAAGTAACATTTAAAAAAATAGAAGGGTTGCATATGGATTATAAAAAGTTAAGGAATTAAACTTGAATTCACCCCATTTAGATACTTGTAAATTGTGCATAACTATGAGCGTGTTTCGCATGGAGCGTTTGAGAGTGTTTGAGAGCTTCTAACTTCTAGCATTTAACAAAACGTCCCATTTTGAACAGAAAGATTTGTTTTACACTAAAAGCTTCTAGCGTTTAGTTTAAATAAAACGTTCTAAATCCAAATGCTACTTTACGTAGCGTTTAACAAAACGCTAGTTGTTACAAGTTATTCGCCACCCGCTACAAGCTACCCACTATGAACTACTTTTGCCGAACACACCTTATATATAGTATTAGCTACCGTAGAACACACTCACATGCACAAACTTATATTTTGTATATATTTATAATTTCTTAAGAAACATATATCACTTCTACTGAAACAATTATCGACCAATTTTTGAATATACACCTTAATTTCTTAAAAGTAGTTAAAAGTTGTAAATAAAAACTCACTTATATTTATTTTATATCTTGAACGACAATATATTATTAAAAAACTAAGGGGCTGTTTGATTTAAACTTACCGGGTCCGGTCAGTGCTGACTGCCGACTCGGTCAGCAGTCGGATGTTTGATAAATACATAATATAGCTGATTCGGTCAGCCCAATCAACTTACCCGGTAAGCAAAAAAAAAACTCCTGACTGGAAAATAAAGCTACGCGTTTTTGCCCTTTGCCCTCGCTCGCCTCCTTCGCCACTCGCCAGTACCCTAGACAAAAGGTGCTCCCCTCCATCGCCAACACCTGTTGATCGCCTCCTCCATCGCGATTTCATCTCCTGCCCCGTCTTCTCCGGCGACGACGCACACAGGCCGGCGATTCCTCTGCACCGGCGACGAGCAGGTAAGATTTCTGAGTTATTATTTTTTTTTTGCTTTTCTTTTTCTGAAATCACAAAACCCTTCATGTCTCTTGTCAAATTAGTGATTTCATTCTGAAATCAAACTTTGAAATTACTGCTTTCATTGTTCTTGGATTCAATTAGTTTAAGGGGTTAGATCAACCCTCATTTGCTCAAATCAATTTTTACAGCCAGTCGACCAATCATTCCTCCTCTGCTCAAATCGATTTTATAGCCATTTAATTTATTTGTTGAATTTGTATGTTTTTAGCATGTTTGTGGTTCTGCGGTAATCTGACCAAATTGTCCATATAAATAGCAGCACATTACCAAATTGCCCCTGTAAATAGCAGCACATATAAAAATTCTGTTTATTGAAAGAACTTATGTTGAAATGAACTTATGTTGAATATGTTGTACATGTTGGATTCAATTAGTTTAAGGGGTTGCTGAAATGAACTTGATTTATTTGTAAATGTGTGTTATGTGGATGATTAGCTATTTTTTTCCTTTTTACAATACACATGACAGATAAAAGAATTAGGGTTAGTTGGAAGTCGGAATTGGTGGACAAAACTTTTTTGGAAGCATGTATACAAGAATTAACAAGCAATGGCCGGGAGGGTAGTGGCCTAAAAGCAAGCTCATGGGCTGTGGTCGCGGAGAAATTGAAAACAGATCATAATTTTGTTGTCGAGAAAAAACAAATGAAAAACCGATACGACTATTTAAAAGCAAAGTATGCAGTGTGGTTAAAACTTAAAAACAAAACAGGAAATATTTATGATCCTGTAACGAATTCTTTTAACATGACTAATGAAGAATGGGAAGCGGAAGCGAAGGTACATATATACATATTTTTTAAATTAGATTATTTTTTTTAATACTTTAATAATATTTATTAAATTTTCAAACAGTCGAACAAGTATGTAGATAAGCTGAGAAATGCAC